TGATCCAGGCGGCCGCTTCACCTTGAAGAGCCACATGCCATTGACAACGTTCTCCTTGGGAGGGGGAACTGCGTCGACGTAGGTGCCTGTGGATCTCCAAGACGCTAACTCTGGGTCCATAGCCGCTTTCCACTGAGATGCCCACTCACCTGACACTGCCTCACGGTACGTGCGACGAGTCGGTATGTCAAGGGCGTCGGGGTCTCCCTCAGGGGAAAGCAGCATGGCGCAGAGAGAGGGGGAAGCGGCTGCCAGGAACTCCAACTCAAACTGCCTGTCCTCTAGGACGTCACAGCCAAGGGCAAACTCACCCCCGACGGACAGAGGACGGGGAGGTGGAGCAGCCACCACACGCGTGGCGTAGTCAAGACGGCGGGTGTAAGCAAAGTCAGTGACAGCGGCAGTAAGAGCTGAGACAGACGACTCAGGAGGTGACGGGAGAACAGACACAGGCGGAGCACGACGAGGACTAGTACGAAACAAGACAGTGCAGAGGTCGTCAAAAGGAGACGAGGGACGAGCACGCGGAGAACAACGACTGGTCCAGTCGTGCGGGACAACAGGAGGAGACGAATGTGACGGAGGAGGAGAGAAAACAGCCGGAGCCGAGTCCTGAGGAGGAAACGTAGGACCGTACGCGGTAGGGGACTGTGAGTGGACAGGAGGAGAGGAAGGAAGACCAAGGGCCCGAAGGCCACTCACTGGAGGGAACCGCTACTGCAAAAGTGACGGCTGCAGCGGCTGCTGCTGCTGCTGGTCCAACTGCTGCAGCTCCTGCCTCTCCTGCTCCAACCGCTCCTGCTCCTCGCGCTCAAGCCGGCGAAGAGCTTGGAGACGTGTGTCGTAGCGGTGGGGAGGCGAAGTGGGTGCCGCAGTAGTCATGCCTCCAGCTCCTGTCTCCTCAGTACTAGCTCCTACAGCGCCAGCACCTCCTGCTCCAGCACCCCCAGAACTAGCACCACCAGCGCCAGTACCTCCAGCTCCAGTACCCCCATAACTAGCGCCACCAGCGCCAGCACCTCCAGCTGCAGCACCCCCAGAACTAGCACTGCCAGTGCCACCACCTCCAGCTCCAACACCTCTCGAACGAGCGCCCCCAGATCGAGTACCGCCAGTGGCAGTACCTCCAGCTCCAACACCACCTGAGTCCACAGGAACCTGTCGCGGAAGTGACGAGGGCTGCTGAGGGGACTGTGAGGAGGACTGCGGGGAGGGAGACGCTACCTGACGCGTGACCGAGGGTAGAGGGGTAGCGTGAGACACACATGATGGGGCAGGACCAGGGGAGGGTGGGGGTACCGGAGGAGAGGGTGCGAGGAAGAGGGGGGGAGGGGGAACCGGGAGACCTTGACAAGGGTACCGGGTGTAGTAGGACACTGACTCGTCAAACCGGACGTCACGAGAGTCGAGAAACTGGTGGAGGGGCGGGTGGTTAAAGGAGTAGTCGAGAGAGCCCACTGGGAAACCAAGGAAGACACAGGGGATGGTGCGAGCTGAGAGCTTGTCCGCAGAGGTGTCGCGGACAAGCGCAAGGCAGCCCCAGACACGAAAGGCCGACCCAACACCAGGGGACCCGGTCCAAAGACGGGTCGGTGAAGCCTCTGGCCGCGAGACACGCGGCTGGAGGTTCAGTTGGTGCGCGGCGTAGCGAACCGCGTAGGGCCACAGAAAATGGGGCGCACATGCATGGATCATGGACGTGCGGGCGATGTCCATGGCCAAGCCAATGCGACGCTCAGCAACCCCATTCTGCTGTGGGGACTCCGGCAGCGTCCAGGACTGTCTGATGCCCTGCTCGCCGCAAAACCCGGCAAGGACGCCGGAACGAAACTCACCCCCACGGTTGGAGTGGAGACAACGGACACGACTACCACGAGTGCCCTCAGTGGCCAGCAGCCACCGGATCAGCGTAGAAGTCACTTCGGACTTCTTCGCGAGAGGAAACACCGTGGTGTACCTGGAGTAGTCGTCGACGACCACTAGAAAGTAGCGCTCCCTCTCAGGTCCCAGTTTAGGGGCAGGGCCCCAGACGTCCAAGTGGAGGGTTTGGAAGGGAGTCGTGGCCGAATGAAGGGAGGAGGAGTGCGGAGTGGCGCGCAGGCGGACGGCGACGCAAGGAGTGCACGGCGGTGCAGGCGAGGGAGGGAGCGACGAAAAGACGCGAGAGAGACATGAGGCAAGACGGTGACTAGCCATGCTGCGGGGGCGGGGGATCGACGGGTAGCCAAGACGGTGGTGCCACACGACGGTCGGGTGGGCGAGAGACCGACAGGAGCAAGACGCAGCAACCTGACCAGACGCAGCAACCTGACTAGATACAGCAACCGAAGGTGACGCAGTAACCTGATTGGACTCTGCTACCTGGGGGGACGCAGTAACCTGGCCGGACTCTGCTACTTGGTGGGACGCAGTGTGCAGAACGAAGAGTCCTGAGTGGGGCTCCCTGGTGAACGTGGCAAGTAGTGCCCCAGGTGGAAGCGTCCGTACAGATCGCCGTCCTCCCGTGCGCACGAAAAGCGACTGTGATCCCACGGTCCTGAAGGTATCCAACACCCACCAAATTTCGAGAGAACGAGGGGATGTAGATACCAGTGAGGAAACCAGAAGGGACAGCCGGGCACGGGAGAGTGGTCGAGCTACGAGCGACTGCTGGGACTGGAGCCGAAAGAGGTGTGACAGTGGTGTGGTCGCGGAAGAAACACTGAGACGCGCCTGAGTCCAGCGTGAAGGAGAGCGACGTGACAGCGGTCATCACGGCTGGAGTAGTGACTACACAAGCACCTACACTAAAAGCACAAGTACCTAAACTAGCAACAGGCAAAGGTCCCAAGTTAGGTACACGCAGGCCAAGAGACCCATACGTGACAGAATAAGCAGCATCCATAGACATATCAAACACAGGGTAACCACTACGAGACAGACCGGGCCAGATCGGTGGCCTCGACTTAGACCCAAAACGCTCATGGTAGAGGTCGTCGAGGCGAATGTAGCAGCGCTGTGCAGAGTGGTCAGGACGCTTGCAGGTAGTGCCAACACCAGGGCCAGTCAGGATCCGGTACTGGCAGGGTCCGACGTCGCGGCCACCGCGACGAGCCCCCCAGCGGGCTGGGCCGCTACTGCAGCCAACGCTACCCGAACCACCAGGCCCCCACTGCTGCTGAGGGCGCCATCGCTGCTGAGGGCGCCACTGCTGCTGAGGCTCCCATTGCTGAAACTGCCGCTGCTGCTGTCCCTGCTGCTGGAGAACCCGAGTGGACGCCATGGTGAAGGCTAGCTGGGTGTAGGAGCGGCAGGATAGGAGTAGCTAGAGCTAGGCACGGCGAGAACGAGGAATCACCAGGCTAGGAACTACTGGCGCTAGGAGCAGCTGGAGCCAAAAGGATCTGGAGCGAGGAACGCCTGGAGAAAAACACGGCTGGAGCTAGGCACGGCTGGAGCTAGGAGTGGCCGGAGCTAGGAGCAGGGCACGGCTGGAGCAAGTCACGACTAGAGCAAGGCACGGCTGGAGCACGGCACGGCTGGAGCAAGGCACGGTTGGAGCAGGGCACGGCTGGAGCTAGACACAGCTGGAGCTAGGAGTGGCTGGAGCAAGGCACAGCTGGAGGAGGGCACGGCTGGAGCTAGACACGGCTGGAGTTAGGAGTGGCTGGAGGTAGGAGCAGCTGGAGCTATACTAGGAACTACCGACAAATGGACACCAGCCTAGGAACAGTCGGCTAGGCAAGGCGGGCTAGGAACGCCAGTCGGGGCACAAAACCGAAACTACGTCAGGAAAAGTGACTGCGGCTGCCCGCCGCCGTTAGAGGTGCCAAAGGCAGGAGGCGTGCACGAGACAATGGGCACTGGTGGTACTGCGGGCGGCTATGGGCGGCAGTAGGCTAGAATTAGGCGGAAGTAGGCGGTGTTGGGCGGCTAGGAGGGGCTGTGGGCGGCTGGGAGAGGCTGTGGGCTGCAGGAAGAGGCTGTGGGCGGCAGGAAGAGGTTGTGGGCGGCTAGGATGAGGTGTGGGCGGTTGGTGTCTGCTGCTGGCGGTAAGTTCCAGCTAGTGCGGCCCGTGCGAGCGCTTCTGTTGGCTGCGTGTAATGCAGCCATGCGCTGCTGCGTGCGGGCAGCAGGCGGAGTGTGGTGTGCGCAAGGCTGCGCGTTTGTGGCTGTTGAGGCAGGCCGCTAGCCGCTAGCGCCGCTGCTGCTGCTGCTGCTGGCGGCTGCAGGCGCGAGCAATGCGGCTGCTGTTGGCGGCTGCAGGTGCTAGCAATGCAGCTGATGCTGGCGGCTGCAGACGCTAGCGCTGCGGCTGCTGCTGGAGGCTGCGGGTGCTAGCGCTGCTGCTGCGTATGCGCTGGCCGCAGGCGTGCTGACTGCCGTGCGAGCGGCAGTTTCTGTGCGTGCGTGCGCAGCTGCTGTGCGTGCACGCGGCGGCTGGGCGTGCGCTTGTGGCTTGTGCGCGCGCGGGCTGCAGCTGTGCGTGCTGGCGCGGTTGTGCATGCGCGCGCGGCTGTGCGTTCGCGTGCGGCTGTGCGTGTGCGCTAGACTGCTGCTGCTCGCGCGCTGCCTATGCGTGCGTGAGTGGCTGCAGTCGCGTTTTCGCCTGCGGCTAACAAACGCACGGGCGCACGACCTAGCTGGCTAGGGTGTGCGGACTGGAGGACTAGGAGGGACGTGAGGGCTGGAGGGGAGGGAAACTAAGAACTAGGCGGTTTAGGAACTAGGCCTAGGAACTTAGCACGTGATACCATCTCAAGAGTAGGTTAGCGGAATGAATCGACTAGTAGGAAACAAGGTACAAATAGGAAAGTCGAGAAAGTTGTGTATCCTCTCTAGTGTGTGCCTCACTGTAGACTAACATGCATATTTGTTATTTGACAGCAGGAACCGAAGTACACTTCTTGCGAACTTTTGTAACCAAAGTTGTGCGCCGCTAAATTTTGCTGACGCCAAATGCTGTGCTAGTGGTATATAATATATTCCCAAAACAAACAGAAATTCCTCAATGCCATATGTCAACCCAGACCGAAGTCCGGAAAATCTTCGCATGAGTGGAACCGGCGAACACGCACCACCTGGTTGAACGAGACATGCTTCTTCAGCCTGCCTCTCCCTCCCAACCCACTCCCATCCACACTCCCATCCCCATCCGCGAGCGATAAACAAGACTTCACAGGGCTCTTTGGAGGAAAAGGGCTTTCTGATTCGGCCGACTCGTGCCCATCCGCACCCCTCTCCACCTTCCCCCTGCCACCTCTCCCTCCAAACTCACCCCCATCCACCAGCAATAGACCCGATCTGACAGATTTCGTAGGCTGCAACTCAAGAGACCTCCTCCTGCCCACCCCTCCAGGACTCCTCATTTGCCGACCGGACCTTTCAGCAAACCTTGCATTTGCTCCAAACAGCCCACCCGGGCTTCCAGTTGGTGTGCCGTTTAAGGGATTGGAGCCATCACTCTGCGATCTTGTGAAGTGCCGTGTGCCTTGGTCGATTCTTACCAAGTGTTGACCATCTTGGTGCATCCCTGTCTGCTGCTGCGCATCTTGCCCCACTCTCATCAAGTGCTGTGCATCTTGCCCCACTCTCATCAAGTGCTGTGCATCTTGCTCCACTCTCATCAAGTGCTGTGCAACTTGCTCGACTCTCAGACTGCCTGGGACAGAGAGAGGGTGGAGCAGTGAGGAATGGGCGCGGGGCACATCTCCTTCTCTTCGCCCACCACCACTGCCAACTCCTTCTCTTCGCCCACCACCACTGCCAACTCCTTCTATTTGCCCACCATCGCCAACTCCCTCTCTTCTCTGGTGTGAGTGCAGATTCTCTTCTTGAGGCGCCTCAGAAACAGAGCAAGGGCAGCCGGGGCTATCCCCTTTTCCTCCTATAAAGCCAACCCTCTGGCTTTGGACCACTACCCGCCCTGCTGCCTCTTCACCAAGCCGCTCCCCCCCGGGATTGTCAACAGAGAAGGAGGCCCGGATGGAGGAAGAGCTTGGGGGAACTTGGAGGGCGAGGTTGCACGGGGAAAGATTGAGGGAATGAGTGGGGAATCGCGGGGGCTTGGATGGGGCGACGGAAGGGGGGTAGGGGGAGGAGATGGGGAGGTTGGGACTAGGCAAAGTGGGGGGATGGCAATGGCAGGAGGGAGAGGGGGACTTGGAGGACGAGGTTGCGGAGTCGGGTTGACTTGGGTGAGTGGTAATGGAGGGGGGGCTGGGGACGTTGGATGGGGAAGGGCTGTGTTGGCCAGTTGGTGTTGTGCTGCTGCCAGCGGACAATCTTGGAGCGTCCATAGGTGATTGCTTACTACAGATCTCTTCCCTATGTGACTGCTCCCCCGCGGCAACTCCCCTTGCTGCACCGCCCTTTTCCTCCACGGCAACTCCCCTTGCTGCCCCGTCGCGCTGCACTGACCGCGCCGTCACGACTCCGTCATGCGTATCCTCCTCTTCATCATGAGTGCCATGGACGGTTCTGTTGCTGACAAGGTCAGCAGCAGAGGCGCGGGCACTCGTGGGGCGGAACGAGTCGGAGCGACTTTTGGGGGAGCAAGCGCGAGGGGATGTGGCGGAGCCGCGTTCTATGGTGGACCGTGCCCTGCGGACGGCGCGGTTGCTCTGAGGCGCGTTACAAGCAGTGTAGCCGTACCTTGAAGTATGGCCGTACCCACTACTAGAGCTTGCAGCTTCGAGGGCCTCGAACGCCTCGAATCCCTCGGAATCTCCGAAATTTCCGAGATTCGCGAAAGCCACAAAGTCACGTTCTGTCGCCGATGCTGCCCTGCGAGAGGTTCGGCGATTGTGCGAAGGCGGCGGACCGAGGGCGCGATGGGGAGGTGAGGAGGTGAAGAGGAGGCGAGCGAGTCGAGGAGAGGGGACGAGGTGACAGCTCAGTCGAGATCGAGGGGAGGGTGCATGTCGAGGTGAATGCGACGAGGGTGGATGGGGCGAATGGGGCGCATCAAGAGGCGGATGGGGCGCATCAAGGGACGAATCGGGCGGATGGCGAGGTGAAGATGCCACGGCGGCAAGAGGAGGCGAGGCTGAAGAGATGTTGGCAGGAGAAGAGGGTTCCCGCTTTTGCTGAGATGCTGCTGCTGTTGCTGCTGCTTCGACACCCGCCCCTTCAAATAATGAAAGCTCCCCTCCTCCTCCTCCCCCTCCCCCTCCCCCTCCCCATCCCCATCCCCCTCCCCCTCCCCCTCCCCCGCCCCCTCTTCTCTCATCCAAGTGCGACGTCGACCGGGAGCGGAGGAAGCGGAAACGGTCGGCGGAAGCCCCGCGCACAGGCGGAACACTTGTGGCGGAACCTCCGGCGCTTATCTTCCGCCCACCCGTAAGAGTTTCCGCTCGCGGCCCGCTGTGCAAGAGGCGGAGGAAACACCGGCCGACGTCCGCGCCAGCGCTGTCATCAGACGAGTGACCGGCGGTGGCGCTGCTTTCTGCGGTGGCGCTGCTTTCTGCGGTGGCGCTGCTTTCAGGGGGGGCGCTGCTTTCCGCGACTGACTTCCGAGTCTTTGCGCCTTTGCTGCCTGAGATTGCTCTTGCGCCCTCGTCGCCTCCGCCTTGCTTAACGCTTGCGCCTTCTGCAGCTGAGCATCCGCTGAGCGCAGGCTTCGCGGAAGCCGCCGCCGCCGCATCGTCGCGCCACTGCGCGTCCATCTCGAGCGACGGCGCGGCTTTCCGCCGAACAACTTCCGCGTGCGGGCTGCGCGCGGCGGCGGAAGGCGTCACCGCGGCAAACCTGGCTCCGCACCGGGTGCTGTCCACCGGAACCACGAGATCTGCGAGATCGCATCTACTAGCAGTAGTAGTTACTACTAGTGATAGCCTGCGTGAGTTCTGCCGAACGCCGGCGGCGGTGATAACAAGCGGAAGCCAGGGGGACGCCGCCACGCCGATGTCCGCCGCTGACGATGACGGAGTTGTGCTCATTGCGTACTCGATGCTGCGGCGTTCCGCGGTGCGAGAACGCGGCGATGAAGCACCGTAGGAGGCAGATCGACTGATACTGCTGCTAGCGGCATCCACGGCGGCGTACGCGACGCCGCCGTTGGGGCGGCGTCCGCCGGTGTGGGGAAGGGGCGGCGTCAAGTTCACCGCGTCCGCGCCGCTGCTAGTAGGGAGGAATGACTCAAAGTGGGGTCTAGCAGTCGTAGAACAAGAGCTGATCCGAGCCGCACGACTGCTAATAGCAGTAGCAGTAGTAGAGGTGTCGCCCGAGTCGGGAACCATGGCGACGAACGACGCCGCTCTTCTCGGCCAGTATTACCCCTAGTCGCTCCGGGAGTCCCGGCGGCGCCGGTACTAGTAGCGGGCACTGCTAGAAGAAGAAAGGAGTCGTCGAGGCGTGAGCGTCTCAGAGATGTGCATATCACGGGCTGTGTGACGGGTTCACGAAGAAGAAAGGAGTCGTCAGAGGCTTGAGCCCTTGCATGACGGGAGAGAGGATGACTCGTGACTGGTCGGGCCAGTGCGCGGGGAGAAATGGGGACGGAAACTGTTTCGTCGCCCAGTGTTACTAGTACTAGCAGTAGGTACCCGGAACATTGCTACCTGCATAGCCCCGGCAGAGAATCCCACGATGAACGGTACTATGCCGAAGCAATGATCAGAGGCCAATACTAGTCGACAGAAGGAAATACTCTCACGGAAGCTACACGTCGCGCGTCCGTTGACAACGGAACTGGCCGTTGACATGGTCGCTCGACGACGGAACTGGCCACTAACGAATGGCGTGACACGCATCGGATGCGAAGCGCGGCAGATGTGTTGACTACAGTCATAGAAGCTGTTTCGTTTGGGAGGGACAGAGGCTGCAAGAGGAGCAGATTTGCTTCACTAGTGTGTGAAGTGGAGCTACAACAATGAGCGCCAGAGCGACAAATCTTTGCAGGTTAATTTTGGAGGACTACCCTGCAAATCCGGGTACATTGTTTAAGTAATACTGCAATTAGCAGGATGAGAGGATTTGAAAACTGTTATGTTTAACGCGGCTGGGGCAGGGTTCGTCCGTTTTCGGCGTGGCCCGAATTTCCTATTTTGCACATATTATCTATCTATCTCTGCCACTGTTTTCCTCTGGTTGGGGAAAAAACTCCGCTGCACGAGTTTTGGCAACAAAAATAGCACAAAAGTCCAGGACAGACCATAATTTTGACTCGGCTCAGTGTAGTGCCCCGCCGATTTACCCGGCCTAACCCTGCGAATGGCGAGTGCTACTCGGCCTGAGCCGAGTGGCGCCCGCGAGTCACTCTTTTTTGACCGGGTGCCCCAAAACGAAACAGTAACCCTGGTGGTGAGGCTTGGGTGGGGATGTGGCGACAGGGAATTCGAGAGGGAGAAGCAAAGGGGTGGGATGAGATGGGCGGCATTTGGGACTGGTGGGAAGAAATCACGGATCAGGTATTGTTTCTTGGTTTGGGTAAGCGACGAGCGCACCACCCCGACCGGGTGAAGTCCGGGTAACTCGGCGGGCCCAGTAAATATTTCGCTGTACACTTTGTTGCATTGTGGATTAGTGTAAGGAAAACACTTTTCCTTAGCGCCACACTCCATACCGCGTATAGCAATGTTTCCCACTGAAGCACCCGAACAACATCCAGTTACCACCTCGCAATAATCGCGCCGACACTGTTCGGCCATCACGACCATCGCACCCAAACCACACTGCTCGGCTGGTACACCGCGACCCAGCCCTACGCCCTGACATTTCCCAACATTGGCGCTAGGCCCGTTGGTCGCTACCAGTCACTAACATCAAGGGCCTGGATTTAATCTTGGGGAGAGATTTCTTGATGCGGGTCAACCAGAAAGCCTGCATCTACAACAACGGGAAACGTTTGGAGTTGAGAAGCTGGACGGATACAAGGAATATTCCAGAGGCATCACTTGCACAGTTCGAGCGATCAATGAACGAGGATAATATGAGTTACCTGGGAGTGGTGATGACAACAGAGGAGGAGAAGACAAAAACCGAACTGCCTTCAGCAGTAAAAGATGTTCTAGAGGAGTACACGGACATCATGCCGGACGACCTTACTGCAGGAGTGCCTCCAGAGCGGAACCACCAGCACGAGATCGTCAAAGAACCAGGTTCGAAACCAACCTTTTGTGCACCTTACCTCGTCACCCCAACAGAACTTGCAGACCTGAAGATGCAGATAGAGTACCCGTTAGACCGACAACCGATCCGACCATCCACATCTCCCTACGACACACCTGTTCTCTTCACTCCCAAGCCGGACGGTAGTTTACGGATGTGCATCGACTACCGGGCACTGAACAGGTATCCGATACCGCGCATAAACGACCTCATGGGTCAACTGCGTGGTGCAATAGTCTTCACGAAGCTGGACCTACGGTCGGGTTACTGGCGGATTAATATGGTGGGCAACTTGATCCACAAGGCGGAGTTCCGCATCAGATACGACTCCTACGAATACTTAGTGATGCCGTTCAGACTCTGCAACGCACCAGCAACATTCCATGCGGAAATGAAACACATCCTAAGGCCCCTGCTGGACGAGTGTGTGGTAGTGCACCTTGACGACATTGCCATCTACTCTAAGAACATGAAGGAGCGCAACGTCCATGTGCAGCGTCTGCAAAGGAGTAGTGGTCGGAGGAAACGAGGAGTAGTGAGGGTAACCAAGAAGGAGTGGTGAGGGTAACCCTAAACCCTAAACCCAGAAGTGGTGGTGGTAACCAACAGATCCTAGAGATGAGCGGTACTCACCAAGTTTGTAGCGAACGAGGGGAGGTGGAGACATGTGAAGGAGCCAGAGGGGGATGCCGGACATGGGAGAACAGTGGAGCCGCATGCAATGACTGTGCCAGAAGAGGGGTTGGCCAGGGTGACAGGGACAGGTTCCGTGAGCGGTGTGACTATGGTGCAGTCGTGGAAGAAGCAGCGAGACACTCCGAAGTCCTGCGTGAAGGTATGCAAAGCCTTCGCAGGAACTGTAATTGTGCTAGCAGTCTCACAAGCACCTACAATACCAGCCTCTACACTACAAAATCTAGGCACACAAGAATAATAGTCACCCTCAGCACTAGCACCAGCAGCATGCATGACATACATGCCAGCAGATATCTGGTCCCAATCAAGAGAAAATACATCTACGCCCTTCTAATCCTAACCAATTATGAACCCTGGCCTGCTCACCAAGCTCTGCTAAAAGAGCGTCCTCGGGGCGGTAGAAGCAGCGAACCTCAGTGTGCCCCAGCCTGCCACAGACGTCGCCAGTGCATGGACATGTGTGTCAGACGTACTCACAACAACCACCACCCCCGTGGGAGCCACGCTGGGCAACCCACTCACGAAGTTGCTGCGGACGTGGCTGCTGCTGCTGTCCACCCCCAGAACCACCGCCTCCACCAGCTGCACCACCAGACGCAGCTCCCTGGCCTCCACCCCCACCAGCTCCACCTCGACCGCCATCCGAGCCCCCTCCGCCATCCCCGCCGCCTCAACTGCCTCCACCACCCCCGCCACCTCCACCGCCACCGCCACCTCCGCCACCCCCGCCACCGCCACCTCCACCACCCCCGCCACCCGCCACCGCTACCGCCACCTCCACTACCCCCACCGCCCCTACCCCTAGTACGCGCACCCCTGCCGCGGTGCCTCTCGCTAGGGGCAGACGCAGCACCAACCTCCTAAGCACCAAGGAAGTCAGCAACAGCAGAGGCAACAGAAGGCCCGAGAAGGGAGGGGGAGCACCCCTCAAAGAAGGAGGGGCTGGGAGTGCCACGGGAGGCAGCTACAGCGCGGGCACTGGTCTTGGCCTCGAGGAGACGGGTTTCAAACAAGGCAAGGGTAAGCTCGGTGGGGTTTAGAGAGAGGAAGTGGTCTCGAACGGCGCGAAGAGAGTCAGGGAGGCAAGTCGCGAGGAAGTAGAGAGTGAGATACATGGGGGGCTGGTTCTCAACCAGAAATTCTGGCTTCAGCATAGTAATGCGCGTCGAGGGATTGCAAGTCGATTCATGGGGTCGGCTACATTGGTGAAGTCAGACAGCTCAGGGAAAAGAAACGGCAGCGCAGGACGGCCTAGGGTGGCAGAAGAGGGGGAGGAGTAGCACTTAACTACAGCGTCATACAGAGCCTTGGTCGACTTCACCTGGCGAAAATGGGGCCGTTAGTCGGGCGGGAGGTCAGCGCGGATTGCAAGCTGGGCAGGGGCGTCGCGTGCGAGCCACTGTGTGGAGGCAATGTGGTCAGTCCTAAACTGCTGCTGGAGAGTCTCAGTAGCGGTAGGGCCAGGGTTAGTCGGCTCAGGTGGGGCAAAAAGGGAACCCGACGTGTGCTCAAAGAGGGAGACATCGTCCTTGGTAATACTTAGCAGGTAAATGTGAAGGTCCTGCAGCCAGGACTCAAATTCGATCGGGCGGACCTCTGCGTCAAAGGTCGGTACAGTAGCAGTCACCATGGTAGGCAGCGCGGCTTAGCGGCAGCGGGCTGGCCAGTGGATAGTGCGCAGCGCAGGCGGCGCGTGGGCAGCAGGGGCGCAAGGGCGGCAGCGGCGGCGGTGCAGTGCACGGGAAGCAGTGGCGCTCGGGCGGCAGCGGCACACGAGCAGCAATGGCGGTGCAAGGGCGGCAGCAGCCGCGGTGCAACGCACGGGCGGCAGCGGCGGCGGTGCAGCGCACGGACGGCAGAAGCGCACGGGTAGCAGCGACTCACGAGCAGTGCACGGGTGGCGGCGCACGGGCGGCGTACGGGCAGGCGTGGCACACGGGGCAGTGGCAAGCGGGGCAGCGGGGCGCGCGGGGCAGCGGCGTGCGGAGCAGCAGCTCGCGGGGCAGCGGCGCGCAGGGCAGCGGCGCACGGGGCAGTAGCTCGCGGGGCAGCGGCACGCAGGGCAGCTGCGCGAGGGTCAGCGGCGCGCGGGGCAGCGACGCACACGGCAGCAGCTCGCGGGGCGGCGTGCGTGGGGCAATGCGGGGCGCGCGTGGCAACACGGGGCGTGTGAAGGGCAGCGCGTAGGGCAGCGCGAGAAGGCGCGCGGGCAGCGCGCATAGAGCAGCGTGGGGCAGTGCGTGTAGGGCAGCGTGGGGCAGTAGGTAAAGACCTAGCCTAGTGTAAGGTTTTTTTTCAGCATTCCTTACCGCGTACGACAACACCACGTACAGCAACAGCCGTTGTTCGCCTGTTACCGCTAACGGGGCTTCGCCAACCTTCGCGCGCACTATTCACCAAACCATGCACTGATGGCCCGGCCGTGTCGGCCTAT